GCTCTCCAGTGATGAATTGATTCAACACTGAGCATAAGAGGCTGTTAGCGGAATACCGCTAAACCAATTGTACTTGATATTAAAGCATAGAAGTATTTTTATATCTGATTTGTATAATTAGTAATATGTTTTTGTAATTGTTTTAAATTTCTCTTTTATTTGTTAAAAAAAAAAGAGTAGTTTTCATCCTGTAATTGTAAGTGTCAGTCAATCAGACAGTATGATCTAATTAGAGAGAGGAAGATGATTGTGAGCCAAGAGCCCTTCAAGACAATAGTCTGCATCATCTGACCACAGTGACTCTTGATATCACATGACGGGCTAAGGGTTTACCACAGAACACTTATTGTGAGGGGTGCCATCCCAGCTGCATGTGTGCTTGCCACACAATGGGGCACCAATTGAGCGGATATTTTATATACTTTTGCTGCATACTGGATGCAGGTTAAAAGTCACAACAAGAATTTCGGTTTTGAATTTAGATTTTTTGTTGCACATTTGTCATGCTTTTAAATTAAGGCATAAATGCTAAACTCATATAACTGAAGTATTACTAATTTAATTACATTAAATTTTAACATTAAATAGCATTATATGTGCATGTGTGAGGTAAATAGTTTTTTTTAAGTCGCAGGGACAACTGTAACCAAGCCATTTGTAGGTTGATTTCTTCTAAAAGCGTAAACACAGCAGCTCTGTGATGCTTTCAAAACATTACTTTGTTTGTTTGAGCGTCCCAACCTGCCCGACGACAGCAACATTGGCTCAACCAATGGCGTCAGTTGGTGAGGACAGTCATTATTTTTGCAGTTCAGTTCATTGGTGTGTCTGGCCTATAGAGAAAAAAAAAGCAAAACATGTCAAGCTAAACAATTTTTTGTTTTTCCCCAGCAAGAAAATGAGATGTTAAGGGGTTACAACTGTAAGATTAAGTTGAACCGTCCCTAATGTATCCTTTAAACGTCCACCGCTATCTTATAGCACTGTCTGTAGCTTTGAGTGGCGTTATAATGGGAGCATGAGGTAAGCTGGCAGACCACACTGCAGGTCAGTGTGAGGTCAGAGAGGAAGAAGTGAAACCAGAGCCCGATCCTAAGATGTGCTAGTGTAGCGTGGCAAAAGCTAGCAGCTCAAAGATAAACAACAGTAAACTAGCCCTCTGTGGGGGAGCTGTGTGTGGACTTGGGAGGCCAGGACCTCCTGGCAGTCACGATGGCAGCTCTCTACGCTCTTATTGATAACCTTCTTTTCTCATGAGGCAGGGGAGATAATACACTCCTGGAACAAGGGTAAAGGGAGATGAATGTTAGACAATAGACGGTCGCAGTAAAGGGACCATCCGCACAGTCTGAACTTTTCCCTGTCTCCAAAGGACAATTAATAATGAAGGCCTTTGGGGTAGGTCACACCAGGCATGGACAAGAGGAGACGAGAGAAGAAACAAAAGGGAAGAGAAACCTGGAGAAGAGGGGGGACATGTTGGATGTTGGATAGTTGATCTTTTTTGAGGGGGAGAGTGTTGCTCTTCAGAGCATCTTATATTGCATCATTTACCTTATGTGCTTTTTTTGTAGACATTTAAATGTTAATATTAATTTTTTAAATATAATATTCCACCTTAAAATTAAATTTGAAGTAAGCCTTTTGTGAACTTTTAATTTCAGATTTTCTCTAAAAGTATAAACACTGTGGCTGTTTGTTTGCACAACCCGACAACAGCAACATTGAATCAACCAATAGCATGTATTGTGGGTGGGGCTTTCTGTTTGACCAATGGCAGACGAGGGGAGAGTTTTTTAATTAAAGCCATTAATTTGGCAGTTCCATTTGTTGACGCTAGCGGCGCAGAAATTACACACTTCACCTTTAAGTATTCCCTTAACTATAACAGTATCTTTTTAACCTTGAAATTTCACCACACAAACAAAACTATGAGTGGGAAACAAACAAAGTTTTAAAGTTTCATTCACTCAGTGTGATAATAGCCACGGACACCTGATAGCCTGAAGATAACAATTCGAGAACTCTAAGTCAAAGGAGGTCTGTGTGAGTGTGCTGTGGGTATATGGCCGCCAACACTTTTTCAAAAAGGCTCAGAGATCACAGGGACCAAAGAAAGAGAGCGAGAGACTAAGCCTCCTCTATGCTCTCCTCAGCTGGAGGAGGGTACAAGGACTGAAGACAAGGCGGGTTTGGGACAAGTTGGGGGGTGGGGGGTTACTCAGGGGGTTTTGACAGAAGAGCCTTGAACTATTTTGTGGCCGAAAGATGAGACCTTCCCAGAGCTGTCATAAAAATGTCTTTTTATCCCAGTGGAGCCCGTGGACCCCACCCCTCTTAGAACTCTTCAATGGTGCCTGTGATGTGATACAGTAAGTGTGAAGACGGCTCCTGAGAACCAGATGCCACAATTACAGGGCCAGGAAACGCCACTTTGGCTAACAATGCGTAACTGTGCAGGTGTTCACTTTCTTTATACGATTAAATGTTCTGCAACTTTTTTTTTTTTGACATTTTCAAGGATTTGATCGCCAACTATTTTTCACACTCCTGGAAAAAAAAAAACACACACACTGTTTGTTTTCAGTGAACCACAAAAAATAAATTTTGAAGAATGTTTATGCAGCTCTTTTCCATATAAGTTCATTCATGCTCAAAAATAGAGGAAAAAACACCATCAAAGTGGTCCATATGACTTTTGGTCTATAGTCCAAGTCTTTAGGAGCCATACACTAGCCTTATATGAGAAATTATGCACTGACAATAAATATTAATTATTATGCACTGACAACAAATTTTTTCAGAAATATCATATCAACATTTTGAATTTCACTCACAGTTCAACAGTTCGTGTAGAATATGGTTTAATAGCTGCAAATGTTAAGATTTTCAGTGAATAACAACGTAAATTCAGTCTGTTCCCCACACAAAGCGAGACTTCAAACTTATGGATCATGGACGACTTTTATGGTTCCTTTTTTTGTATCCTGTCAATGAATTCTAGTTTTTTCAAAAGAGTTGCATGAAGACCCTTCAAAAATGCTCCTTTTGGGATTCATGGAATAAAAAAATAACAGTATACAGGTTTAGAAGGACATGGGGAGTGCAAATAGTTCAAATTTTCATGTTTAAGTGAACTACCCCTTTAATAAAATATCATTCTAATGTGTTAATTTAGCTTCTCAGGATAAACAAATGATGTTCCCAGACAACATCTAAGCAGGCCTGTTAGGCTTGATCATATCTGCTTTGTACATAGAGAAACCCCTTCAGCTAAGAGATAACATTTGCCACATTGCTGGCGGCTCTGTTTAGGAGAAAAGACGAGAAAGGAGGTTTAACTTGTTTTTTGTTTGTTTGTTTGTTTGTTTTTTGGGAGCCTTTTAGGGTCTGGACATCATAAGCTGTGTCTATGCAAATGTCCTTGATTGTGTTCATTTGTGCCATTGTCCAGCTAAGACAAACAGAGCAGTAATTAGGAGAGAAATGATGGCGTATTGAGACAGCACGATGGAGGAGGAGCCGAATGAAGGATAAACAACTTGAAAGAAAACAGCAAGCTTGGTGAGCACAACACAAATGCATTGAAGGCAATTAATGAAGCTCCTTTAATTACGGCCTTTGCTCATTCCACCATGAGGAATGTGACAATTATGTCATTAAAAAGTTTGTAATGGGAAAGTGAGGGGTGAGTACATTCGAAGAGGATGAAAGACACAAGGCAGCGAAAGGAAGTGCAATGAAAGAGAGGGAGAGAGAAATGACAGGGCCCAACTACAAAAAAGAAAGTCTCAAAGGAGGAGGAAGCACATTACTGGTGCACATTGACAGACTAGATTAACATCAAACGATCAGCACAACAGAGGGTATATTCATTCAGGAGGAGCTAGCAAGGTGGAACTTTGATGATGCTAAATTTGGCAGAAAGAGCGACTTGCTGAATCGGCGAGGGTTCCAGTTTCATGCCTCGCAGTCTGACAGGTGGAGAAGAGAAAATTTAGTACAAAAAAGCCTCAGCATGAAGTGTCCCTTTGCACCGCTAAAGGTTGTGTGACCTCTCTCTGCAGCACAGACTTGCTGTGGGATGTCGTTGCATGCTAGACGAGACACGACGCGAGGTGATTTGGCCCGGTAGGAAAAAAGGAACAGACCAGGGCACTGAAATTTGCATTAAAGATCGAGTTTTCCTTGCATGGAAAATGAGCATTTGGGAAAGTCTTTCAGGCGGTCCTGCTTGTACACCTGTGCAGCCTTTGTGGCTCTTGATATGCAAAACAATCTCTCCCTCGGTTCGACTTCTCTACCAACAACAGTCTTATTCATGGTGCCCTGCACTTTCTTCCACAGCCATGCAAATCTTGCATTTATATATGAAAATAGGGATCATGTCCCTAAATATCTTCCTGGTCGCGAAAGGTGTGACGCGCCGTGTTCTCTGTACCTGCAATCACAATAAACCTTGGCTTTGACCTGATCTAAATGAAAGGGAGGGGAGGGGGAAGGGGGTAGATTTTTGCTAATAGTCAGCTAAATGATGATGATGTTGTAAGGATAGTGTTTGAATGACCAGAGTCCCAGTGGGCAGATATTGATAGTGAGCTGAGCGGTAAATGTGAGCTCTGCAAATTGTATTTGACAAGGACACTTGGGCCTGAAGCATCACTCCCCGTTTGCCTCATCAAACAGACAGATGCATGACTGTGTTTCGGCAAAAAAAAAAAAAAAGAGAAAAAAATCTTGTTCACTTTACCCCAGGAGTACGGCGAGTAGGGTGAGCAGCTTATGGGATGAACAGCTTGCCATTCATTGTCTTATCATATAAAGAGATCATTTAGCTGTATTAATGTTAAAGCTTTGAACTGTGCTAACATTAATGGAAAGGATTCAAAGTAATACCTTATGCATCACTGCGTGAATCTCACCTCGCAATACAGTGTGGCCTGTTAAGGTGAATGCAGTCACTTAGTAGCGTGAAACACAGGTAACGGACGAGGGCTCACCTCAAAATCGTTGGCCTTGTTGTAGTGCATGTTAAGAGCGCGGAAAAGCTCGCAGTCCCGGCTCACGTTCAGCTCGTCTGCCCCTGTTACGCCATCGTTGATGGACTGCCGAGCAAATTTCTCCATCTGGATGTAGTAGAACTCACGGAAGTTACTGAACCACTTGATCAGCTGAGATGTGATGCAGCGGTTGAACTTTGAGAGAGAAAGGGGGAAAAAGAGAAACACTTGTAATTTTTGTTGCTGTAGGTTCAGCACAGAGAAACGCATTTGATATTTATTATAGTGCCTTTGTGCTCATCAGTACATACATTTATTTATTTTAAAGGATTTTTGTAATTGTTGATATTATGTTTTTTTTTTCCTGACATAAGCTATGTATATGAAAGTTGTCACAAGAAAAAAAAAATAGCAACAATATTCTTTAGGTAATATATATGACATTTATGGTGTCCCAAAAACATACTAGAAAAGCTTTTCTGAAAAAAAAAATGTTGTTTTTCAGAAAAATGATATTTACACCAGAAGGTTCCCACTATTTCAATCATTAGTCTGTTTTTACTGAAAACTAATAAAATCAGGTGTGACTAACTTCTAATCTGGTTAGCCAGTGAGACCCTTAAATGTCAGGACAACAGAAAAGACATTTGTTTCTACAAACGTGTTTACTTCACATTGTCCTTGAGGATGATGGGTAAGCAAACAAACCCGTAGCTGAGACAGATTGGTCAGGGCGGTGTTTTTTTTTCCTCCAACAAGGCTTACACGGTCGGTGCGGATATTTGCTGTTGTGCGCAAATGTAAACAGTTCAGGGTTGAGTAGATGAAATTATAATTGTGTCAATAGCCCGTAATGCAGTAACGGCAAATTTACATATCAAGTAGCTGAGTTAATTCCGACATGCCTCAGTTTTTTTTCCCACATTAATAATCGAGTGAAGTAAGTGATCAAGTAAAGGGTGAAATTGAGTGAAGAAATCTAAAGGACAAAAAAAACCTTGCAACAAGTACGGCTCTAGTTGAATAGTTCAGCTCGGCAGCTCAAAGCTGGCCTTCGTACATTGTTGTGGGAGCTATATTTGGAGTGCCTGATCCTAGACCAGTAAATACACAGTACTCTGTTTGTCCTGTGTACTTGCCCCATGACCTCAGTAAATGACCTGTGTGAAAGCCTTTGGTCCTTTCTGTGTGTGTGCAGCTACGTGTGTATGTTCATGTGTGCGTGCGAAAGCTACGGGTGCCAAGACTGTGAATGTACAGGACAGCTGAGTTGAATGTAGCCAAGTTAAAAGCTATAAATCCAGCGGTCTTTCTTTTGGCTGCTTTGACATGCAGCCTCCTGCCTTTTGTCATTACGGGTGTTCATCAAGCCTTCATTGCCTTTGCCTCCCCTTCCATATCCTCAAAGAGCATTAATCAAAAATCAACAGCGAGCACTTATCTATCTGTGGCCATGAGAACATGCAGGCCTCTGTTTAGATGACAGCTGAGGAGAGAGAGAGATCGAGCAGAAGGAGAAAAAAAGAGGAAGGGCAAGGAACAAAGAGGGGGAGGCCAACCGTGTTTTCCGAGGGTAGATGTAATTACCATGTAGAAACTTGTCTCCATGCTTGCAAATTTAAGATAATGACGTGAATGAGAAATCATAGCGGGGAATCCGAGTCGGAGAAAGAGTCAGAAACCACAACGGGCTGATAGGTTTCCCCAAAAGGCCAGCCGAGAGCATAATTACCGCGCCACCGTGAGAGTTCTTCTCCCATAATTCAGCAGAAAATGATTAAGTCGTCATTCCGAGGCATCAGTCTGCAGAAGTTCAAACATATACTTAACCTATCCAGGAATTATACATTTGGCCTGTGTGTCGCCTCTGCCTTCTTTCAGCCTAACAGTGAGCGAGAACAGGGGTTGAAAAGAAAGGAAGAAACAGGCGAGAGAAAAAAAGAACAACCAAAGAAGCAAGGCTATCTGATCTCTCACTTACCCCCATTTCAAAAGACGTTAAACCTATTACGATCTACTGAACTTGAGGGGCTTCTTTTTTTCCGCTTTATCTGCAGAGTGAAATGCACTGTCCAAATTTCAAGACACTGAGTTAAGGACCCCTGGCCCCCATGACGACTTACTCCAGCCCCCCACCACCCCCTTAATTCTTTTAGAATAAGAAACAAAACATTACAAAATGATAGCAGACTGCTCACTGGGGAATGAAAATTGCTTTGACATGGAGATTAGGCTCTTCTATTGTCATAAGACATTGTCTCATATGAGTGGGGCTTGCAGAAGAGACGGATAAAAGGCGAGAGAGGGGGAAAAGCAGAAAAGTAAGTCCGCATGACATTGTTTGGCAGCGCTGTATAAAGGGAGATTTAAAAAGCATTGTTGCCGAATAGAAATACCAGAGATTCGGGGGACAATGAAGCTGCGTTGCTGGAACGTGACAACTCAGCAATTAAGGATCATGTCATCTGCTTGTCAAACAAAAATAACCAGTCTAGCTCTTTCAGTTCTCAGCCACCCCATGGAACAAAACACTAAATGATATGTCGTAGCACAAAAAAACACTTGCGAACACACATTTGTCTTGGTGGGATTGTGGGAGAGAAAGTGAGATGGGTTAGTTTTGAACAATACGTTTTTTTGCATTCTGAGTCGAGCTCTTGACAAGGAACTTTTTAAAAAGTTTTTAAAGCGTTGACGTTGTAATTCATGCACCTATATATTTATTTTTCAGGAGCACCAGTGAAAGTCCTCACTCAGTGCTCTAAACAAAATTACTACTACTACTACTACTACTACTATTATTATTATTATTCCTGACTGTAACATTGCAACATGCATTTTTGTGAAGCTGCTTTGAAACAATATGTATTATGAAAAGTGCCATACAAATAAAACTTGAATTATTTAATGCAATTATTATTAATTATTAAATTGAATTATTATTATTATTACTATTATTATAATAAACAAATACATTGGTTTGATACTGAATTGTAATATATATATACTGTATATAATGGACTTCACTTAACTTTTTTTTTTTTATGAAAGTTTCTAGAAGAAATTTTGACTTGAGTGTGTAGAAAAGTGTATGAAAAGTTTTCAACTACAATAACTGTGCAACTTTATTAGGATTTTATTTAGGATTTATTAGGATTTTAAGTGTTTTTTTTTTTATTGCAATCACAATCCACTTGCACATGCCTTTTTAATTTCAATCATCAAGATGCTTCTGTATGTATGTGTAGAAATCTACACCCGCACAAACACACTAGTTTAATTCAAAAATCTATTATTCTGGACATAATTTCCAGTGCTGTTCTAAGAACACATGGGACACCTCATCCTGTTATTCTCTACCCCCACAAAAAACCTTATATATCCAATGAGCACGCTCAAAAGATTCATAAAACAACTCAGTCTGACGTCTGTGATGTGTCCGGGCAGCAGTTGACTCAGAGAACATCGTGCAGGAGTGAGAGCGTTTCACACACTCTTGCTCACAGGCCTGTGAAAGATTATTCCTCTGGTGACAGAGATCCGCTCTTTCCAAGACACCGGGGGAAGACTTGACCTGTCACTCCGCACGTTTCCTCTGTTAGCCATGGACAATACAGGCTTTCACACATGCCTGGTGGGGACGCTACTTATATGGGGGTCTGTGCATTTTAAGCTCCCCCACCCACCTCACACACAGCATGCACTTAGATTGTGAATCTGGGAAAAGTTGAGCTCTATAGGGGGAAGTAAGCTAAGTGCCCCAGTACGTTACTTGATATTCAGCTGTTAATGGAACATGGTATGCTGTATGTTTAAAGGCAGGCAGGCAGCCTGGTGACAAAGCCTGAGCGGCTAAAATAATTTCTCTGACCTACGGTTGACCTTACTGGAGCTGTCCTACTGAAACGTATATGCCTCGACCCTTTCGGGGTGACATAACCCCTGCTCATACTTGCTTTGACTGCTCATAATCAGTGTCACACCATCTTCCTGCTAATACTCCTCTTAACCTTTGACCCTCTCTTATTTAGCCCTCAAAGGCTACTGTAAAAAGGCCAGTGGACCACCTTTCAGTGCGCAAGTAATGTGAATATGCCATATGAGATTTATGGTGATTAAATTGGGAAGAAATACAGGGGGCGAGTTAGGTGTAAAGGATGAATATGGTAGTTTGGCAGTAAATCACATTAGGATAATAACCCATCACAACCATAGTGAGTGTGTTTTATAATACTCTGTGTGACAAATATGATAATGGATAACAGGTCAAGGAACAACTATGAAAAAGAGAAGTTGAGGAGAGACAAAAGTATTATCCATTACATAAGGACTAAAATCAGTGGATTTTCACAGTTTCCTGTTGCTTTCCTGTGAAGGGAGGCTGTCTTAATCTCTTTATGACCACTGGCTCACTATGTGAAGTCATAAGTGGGAAATGTTCTCGCTTACTGCTGCACTACCTGTAAGAAGCAGCTTCCTCTTCCTGACTAACCTCTAATCTATCATCACCAACATGGTTAAAGTCAAATTCTCTTTGACTCACACTTTTAGCCTTAGTTCATTTACAATTGAACTGTACAGCCTTGACTCTCTCTCTCTCTCTCTCTCTCTCTCTATATATATATATATATACATATATATATATACCATGTAAAAAAAATTAAAAGTAAAAATTAATATTATTATTATTATTTAATTTTACCGTTTTTTTTAATTTATTTTTTAATTTTATTTTAAAAGAGAGTTCATTCTAAATTTTTGTTTAATTAGGCCATTAAATAGTCGCTCTAGTTTTTATTATTTTATTTATCATCCGATTACAGACAATTTAGGTAAAACAGTTGTCAAGTCAACCTATTTCCCACAGTCATTATTTCCTATTTAGATCATTATTATTATTATACATCATTATGGTGCCTAAACGTCTTTAATCACTAATTCCTGTAACTTTTGTGGGCTTATACAGCCGTAATTAGTCAGTAATGTATGCTTAATTCCCTTACATACATAATAGTTGATCCAACAAACACATGCCACCCATTGTTCCCTTCTGCTTAAGCAGTTCTGAAAAACCATCTCTCCCAGGACACTGACCTTGTTTTGGAAAATGTTAAGTTAATGTGTACAGAATTTCACAGCCTTGTCTAAAGGGGAATTAAAATTGAGCTGTCTTTAATTTAAGGCTTTGATTAACTTTCTATTTTGTGGCTGAAGGTACAAAATAAAATGAATTAGTGGAATTATGAATGAGTTTTTAGGTTTTATTGAAATCAGTTAAAAAAAAAAAAAACTTTTAAAAAGGTTTAACTAAAGGACTGTCTCTAAATATATTGGCTTCTAAAAATTAAATTCACTATTTTCTAGGTATTAAATTATATCATTTCCTATAAGCATAAGCGCTAACAGCGAGCGATGAATGGCAGTACGTTCTCATGAGTATTAAGCTGCTGGCAGATTTAGATGGATGCAACAGAAGCATGTGTGTGAGGATGAGGTGGTCACCCTGGACCCGGGACAGGGGCAGCTGCGAGTGAGAGGACCCTGCTCTCTCATTGAAATAATGTGGCCTGAATCGGTCACATTATTTCTCCTCCGTATGCTCCCTGTATGATGCATCAACAACAAATTAAGTTGTAAATAAAAGACAATCGCTGCCATTGTTTTGTTTGTGTTGTTGTGCTCCATTTTGTTTGTTGTTTCCCTCCGCCACCCTGTCCCCTCCGCTTTCGTTTGTTCGTTTCTGCGGAACCTAGAATTTTCTCAGCTCTTATCACCCTCTACCTCCCACTTTCACAGATCAGTTGGGGATGGGAACTCTCGGAAATTATCATCCCGACAAGTTAACAGAAACAGAGACTAGTTGTCTGTGCTTGCTAACCAGCAGTGGCGCGACCAAAAAAAGGTAAAAAACTTAATCTCACAATCAGTGTTTAAAATGAAAGTGTAAGTGAGTAAAAGGGAAAGTGGGACTTATGCTATGCCGTGTTGTTCTCCTCTCGGAGATTAAGGCCAGTTATTTTAATTGGGGGGGGGGGGGTGGAGTGGTGGGGGAGCTGGCCGTCTGTTTGGGACCCATCTGGACTAGTGGGACAGCGCTACTTCACACGACATAGTTAACGGTCAACGGCAAACTCACCTTCACGTCTGAGAAGAACATTTTCAGCATGTTGGAGCTGGGGTAGCGTGCGTAGAAGAACATCAGCTTGGCCTTCTTCAGATGGTTCGGAGAAAGCCCCTCTTGGATTTGAAATTTGAAGGTCAAGGACATTTTTTTAAATATAATTATTTAGACATTCACACGTAGTAAACCCCATTTGTACTTCTTTATGATGGCCCAATGTTAAATAAAATATATAAAACAGTAGATAAATATAAAAAAAAGATACCCAACAAAATCAGCCAACCTTACATATTTTATATATTTATCACAAAGCTAATAATTACACCACTGCAAACAGAGTAAATCTAACCATCACTAATTATTTCCGTTTTCTGACAACTTCATATTAATACCTACACAGTCCCAGTCAATGTAGCATTGCAAGTCAATAAACGTCTGCTTATCCCAATAAAATGCTATTTATCTGGAGGTGGCACTGCCCTCTAGATTGGTAAACAGAGGGCAGCTGAGGGGGGTCCCAGGAGAGACCGTGGCTAACCAGAGCCATCTACCCATTACAATTAGCCCCAACCCCCAACCCTCCACCCTGAGCCTCCTGGCACGGCCCCCGCTCTGCCAGTTAGGCCGGCTTTAGCCACATCTGCGCTCCAGACTGGCCCAGCCATTTCCTCTGCAAATTAACGGCTTTATAATTTATCAAAAATGAAGATGCATGTTGGGCTAAATCAATTGGCCCCCACAAGGTCAATTAAGAGGCTCACCCAGCGCTCGCTTACCCCCCTTCACTATAAAGCATGGCACCATCATGGCAGCTCGCACCAAGTACGGTACCTCACTGTGTCTGTTATGTAAAACACTAAGGGCTGGAACAGTCGCTATAGTTTGCAAGTTACAAGAACAACAATAAATGCATCTACATGTAAGGAACGATAAAAATTGACTGTCTGTGCAATTTCCAACAGTGAGCCTCTTTAATAATGGTGTGTATTTAGATTGACGTGTTCATTCTGCCAAGAGAGGAGCAGAGGAGGAGAACCCTATGTGACCTCCATTAGGCTGATAGGGAAGATCAAAAGAGCATTACTCTCTTTCCTACCATCTGTCATAATGCATACAGCAAATAACAGCAGTGAATGACAGTGAGGGAGGGAGAGAGAGAGTTAAGCTGTCTTTTTCACAACAAGTCAGATTTTTCAAGGACCTAAAGGCTCATTTAAAAACCAAGAGAATGGAAAAGCCCAAGCAGCGGGGCCGCTTCTCAAAAGTGCTTCTTCATGAAATGGAGCGAATAATAGGCCGTGTTGGAGTCTGGAACGAGAGGGCTGATAAACACCTTCATAGTTTTTTTTTTCCAGTAGATTAATCACATTGAGATGCTCTTAATCTAATGGGCGTCGCACACTGAAAGCAGTGAGGAAGCGTTTGCAATTGCCACTGTTCAATCTCTACGCAGTATTTACAGAGCAACGATTATATCAGTTCATTCTGCCCTTCCTCTGCTGTGTTAACAACATTCATAAATCCCAGGTATCTCATTACTCTGTGTCATTAACATTCAAGACATCTACTTTTAAATAAAACAAACAGTCGCAGATCTTGGGAACAATGTGTTGAGGATGACTCGACGAGGCTTGACTCAACTAATGCACATTTCCTACAAGTACACCTGGCTTCCAAGAAAAATACAGCTGTTTCTAGGATACGTAAATATGTGAAATGACAAAATAGATCGAGTAAACACTGGCCCACTCAGTGTAAGACAAGCCAGTCCATAGTCAACATGAATGAAGGACATAATGCAAACATGAATATGAAGTATTTCAGGAGAGGAGAAAAATGGGGCAGCTGTGGTTTATAGCCAAATGAGATACTACATAAACAACGCCACCATAGATGCACTGCATCATCAGGCTTTTTTAGGTCTGGTTTTGTATTAAGCATGTTGCATGTAAGGGAGACAATAACTAGTGAAATATGATCCAACAGCCAGGTGTAAGGAGAGAAAGGAGGGAAAAAGGACATAGGGATGCTAAATCCATAAATTAATGCTAGACATCTGTTCAGCAATATGAAAGATTAGAGCAACAAATGTACTACAGCAGAGACTTTAGCTCTTGCTTAGAAAAATAGAATAGGAAGCGTTTTCAGATTGTCGGCTGGAAAAAAAAAATTTGATGAATCACTTGACAATCTTTTGACATAAAAATGTATAATTTAGAACTGACTCGAATTGTGTCATTTCACTGGCAGAGTGATTTTGAAATCGAGAAGGTCTTTTATTAAACCACTTTGGCAACCGAGTTTGAAAAGTGATCTGAGTGATGTCTTCATAGCGCACATTTTCTTTGCTTCGCTTTAATTGATGAAACCTGAATCTAGGTGCAATAGCTGCCTCAGCACTTGAGCATGGAGCTAGCGCAATCATGAACCTCTGTCCTCGTCTACTATATTAGACATGCAAACTGGCTTCACCTGCTGCCCACCCCCACCCCATTCTTACAACAGCCCTGTGCCAGAGCTGTTCGGTCTCTCTATATGCAAATGATGGGGGAAACTGAACAAGGCTATTTTTCTTGAGATGCAAAGAGAGCACGTGACAAGGAAGATCATGCTGCCCATGGCTGAAGATAATTGGCTGCTTGTTTCTTCTAGAATTTGAATAGAAATTCATATTTGATTAAACACCCTATTTTGCAAATATTGAGAAGTTGTTGTTCAGGTTCCAACTGTGCAGGTGTGCAAGTATACTTACAGAATTAATAGACTCTGAGCTGAAGAGTGCTTACTTGGTGAATTATCTTTGCGTCGTTAGAATGAACTATTTTGCAAGTTAATTTTAATAAGTTATGTAATAATTTAATGAATAAATTAAATAATGTCATATTTAATCTTAAGATTCAGAAGTTGCTGTTTAATAAAAACAAATGCTTTATATTGAACATTTGGTTTTGTTCATTTTGACTTAATTCAAAGCTTATCAAAGATCTTATAGCCATTTGGCAAAAGGTTAAAAAGAGGGAAAGCGATGAAAGAAAAGCAGCTACCTGCAAACACCTGTTCACACCAGAGAAACAGGATAAAAAGAAAAGACCTACTACCAGGCAACCGCTATCGGTGTTCCTATACCTAAAGCAAATTGGTGGTGTTCATAAGAAATAGGCTTTGTTGTTTTCTTGAGCTCACATATAATGCAAAATAAAAGCAAATATGAAGGAGAATTAAATTTTAAAATTGTGAAGCTCAACAGTAGGGACATTTTTACCCTTGTTGCCTTCACTTGACACCAAATGAGCACAAATCCTCCCAAATGAAGTGCTTCTCCACTGACAGAGATCTTTTACCATCCTTCTAACACAACTTTCTAGGGCCTCTAAGCAAAGGATCCCACTTGTCCTTTTACCTCCTGGCTTTGAAATCTGATTTGCTTTGAGCATTTATGTACAAAGTCTTGTATGCGCTGTGATGAAAGAGGGGGTTTTATTGTGAGTCTCCCTGTGATAGTGTGAGAACAGAGAAGATGGGAGGTATCTTAGCCATGGCGGGGCCTTTCAGCACTTCTCCATATAGCGACACTCTTAAAAGCCTCCATCCACTGAGCTCTTTTTAATCTTTGGACTACTAGAGGAACACTGACTGTGAATGTGCCAATTAATGGAGATTCATTGAAATTAAGTTTACATCTTTCAATATATGTCTGTCATTCATATGGTATTTAAGCTGCACTCTCATCAGAACTGTCTATTTTTTTTTAATCTAAACAAATAAAAGATACAATAAGCAAAATATGCTTTACTTTTTTTTTTAAAGGATATTGTACTTCCTGAATATGGAGAGATGTCAGACATGTCCTGAAGGTCTCCGCACTCTGACTTGATGAGGGACAAGGACAAACCTTCATTCCCTGGGTGTGTTGGTGAGATGGAACGATGGTGGCTGAGGTGGTTGGACGACATCTTGGTCCGTAGGCTGGTGGTCTCTCTGGACAGATCCAGAGACTCGGGAGAAGACCTATCCTTTCCTGGGTAAGGCCCTGTTGGGGCACCTAAGGGGCTTTGGAAAGGGTAGCCCATTAGAGGAAGGGGGAAAGGATGGCGGAAAGAGGGAGGACTAAAGCCCATTGTGGAAGATAAGTGTGAGGGGTGGAGGGAGGGATGGTGGTGACCCCCAGGTGTGGGAAGAGACCCAGTCTGATCTGAGGAGTTCTTTCTCACTACCAAAGGTAGGGCCTCCGTTTGGTCATTCGAGTTGGGCACATGCATGTTAGCGAAAGTGTCCAGGGGATTAGGAATGATGACATCTCCGAAACATTGCAAGCGCTGGTTGGCAGTATGGAAGTTTGGGTTTTCTCCATTGACTGCGAAACGATCAGGAGGTATCTGCAGGGGTGGGAAAACCTGAGGAACTGGGCGTGGAGGCTTAGCAAAGACCTTCACCACGGTGTCCACTACCTGGGACATTGCTGTATTGAGCTCTTGTTTTAGCGTCTCTGCTAGCTGTTTGCCCTCTGCATGCATGGAGGTTGGTCTCTGGTTCTTTCCTCGTGACCCATCACGCTTGGGTTTGTCCCCCTCTCTCACCATGTTCTGCTCCCGAATAAGTGCGCATGCTCGATCCAAGAAGTGCCCCGGATCAGACATCTCGTTGTCGGAGCGATCTGGGACAGAGTCACGGGCACGATTGTCCATTCTGTCAGAACGCATGCTGTCTTCAGAGATGTTTCCATCTTCATCATTCTCAGAATCAGTGCTGTCGTAAATCTGGTAGAACTTCTCTTGCAGTTGCCGGAGCTGCTTCTGCATGTCCTCCAGCTGTAGTTTCAGTTGCCGGCGTTCTTCATGTTTCAGCTCTTTGCGCGCAGAGACGAGTTGCTGAAAACTCTGTTGCTGCTGCTGTGGCAGTTTCTGCTTGCGCTTGTTTTCCCGGTAGTTCTCACGAGGACTCGGGGGTTGGGCTGCCCCCTCGCGCTCATTATCACCTGCACGGAGCGTGACGCTGGGAGAATGGCTCATCCCACGGATGATGTTCTCCACTCGGGCTCTTTTGGCCCTAAGATGCTCATCTGTTAGCCTCTCCATATCAAATTGGGTCATGGAGGGCCTGTTGAATGGTGAAAGGCACTCCTGAGGGCTGCCCCGTGAGGAATTGCTGCAAGCATCCTCTTGCTGGATCTCTGAACCGGTGCTCGAGAGGCCACTTCCCTGGAAATTAGTCTCACTGCCTCCATTTTTGGTCAAATTGTTTTTCAGAAGCTGGGATATGATGGTTGCCCCCGGAAAGGGCATCATAGCATCTTCATAAGAGTTCGCCCTCTTCAACAGCTTGCGAAGCACGTTGGACTTCTCGCCGTCTGTGTGCTGCACCACAGAACACTCAATATCCTGCTCGGAACCGTGGGGATTCATGGCACTAAGAAAGGTTGCTTTTCCTTGGGTGAAAACCACAGATGCTTGCCCAACAGTCCTCTTCACTCCTATGTCAACTCTTCTTCTCTTGGTTTGTCTGCTTAAGAGTGATGTGCTGTCATGGTCAGGCATCACTGGTACTGTTATTGTGCCATCTTTGAAAGCCTGTCAGCTGGGCACAGCTCGAGAACCCTGGGAACCTAGCCAAAAAGAAAGGACTGATGAATAATTTTCTTTATATGTCTCCAAGTTTCTTGTGGCCAATGCTAAATGCAATTTGAAACAGACTAATGTTCTAGAGACAGAATGTATTAACAATATTTTAAGTCTGTCTATAGTTTATTAAATAAAAATGGACAAAGAGGTTAACCGCAAAAAGTATATAATTAAGATCAGTTACAAACTCATCATTTAAAAAAATATTTTAATGACCTATTCAAAAAAAAAAAAAGTTTAAGTCATACACAAATCTGTGTTAAGCTGCACCCCAAAACTAATTCTCATGTAAGAACCAGTTAAAAATCACACTGCTGTGTTTAGCCAGACATGTCCTGAGAGTATTGTGCTCACATAGCCAACTTGCAGGCTTTGTTCACTTTGGTAAGTTTAGAGGTACCCTTGTTTTTTGTCAGTAAAACAGCTAAAGTTGATATTTGCATAGACACTTAGCGGCCTTAATGTTATCTTTTGGAGATTAGCATGCATATATGTTCCCCAATCTAATTAAAAACAAATCATGATACAACAAATATAATACACCACATAAATTTAATTCTGGGGTTTACAAAAACAATTGGTTTGTGGTTGATCAAATGAATTAAAAGCAAACCCCTTTTCTGGATAATACAGGGACAGTGATTTAAGATCGGCCAACATTATACATGGCGCTCAAATCAGTTGATAAAAAGTTTGTGTTCTCCGTGCATATTAAAAGGGCAAATATGTAGCTTTGCTCGGTATGAATGTAACGCACTTTAAATAGCCTAGGCTATTTCATCTCGCACTGAGCATAAAGTGCACAGCTTTGCTAAGCAGGTATTGAATAACGCGACTACTTCATCCAAACATACAAATGAATGTTATAGGGAAAAGAAAAAGTACAATAATATAATGTGATAGTGTCTTCATATTGACCAGTACGGCCATGGCTAATAGTCGTTTGCAAATATCTAGAATAAATATCTAATAGCCTGTGACATGAACCATATAATACGTATAACTTAAAACAATTGTTCTTCAAGACGCACCAGTTAACATAGTCAGAAGTTTACATTTACAATATTAAACATAGCGGAAACACTGCTTTTGCTGTCACTAAATACAAACACTTGACAAGTCAAGAAAACAAGGCAACAAAATCTGTTCGTTTTAGACGTTTTTCACCTCATTCGGCCATTGCGTCCTATGCGCACCTCTTCTCTCCAAAAATTTCAAGCTGTTCAAATCCAAAAAATCCTTAAATCCAAAAAGTTGACATAGAAAGAAAATGAAATTCATAGTGCATATATGCGTGATCACACGATTCGGTTGCTGTGTTAAATAGCCAAAACATTTATGTAGTCACCATCAAGTTCTCGACTATTGCAGTTTTGAACCTTTAAAGACCCAAGGACCCCCACCCAGACTCTCAGCCAACCAACAGAACACTAAAAAGGCTAGATTTGATCAGTAACACCTTTAGTCATTTTTTTATCAGTAACTTCTCATCAGAAACATTAACTAACATTATATATTGTTTAAAATATACTTTGTTAGAAAGTTCTTTAGTTCATAGTTAGAAATGTCATAAAAATGTTAGAAAATTATGATCTATTATTTTTTTAATCGGAGTCCTGATAGAAAATCCTGCCTTTAGTGGAACAGTGTAATACATTGCACCTCAAACCTAAAATATGTTATAAACAACCACGTGCGTGACATTCATTTAGACACTAAACGTCTAAAACAGACTTTACGGCTTTGTATACGCCGGCAATTATTTCCTAAACTTAGATTTTTATGTAAACTGAAGCAAAGCTTTGATGTATCTGGCTTTCACATCAGAAAAACGATGATGATGATGAAGTAACGCGTCAAGCTACCACGTGCGTGACATTCATTTAGACATTAAACGTCTAAAACAGACTTTACGGCTTTGTATACGCCGGCAATTATTTCCTAAACTTAGATTTTGATGTAAACTGAAGCAAAGCTTTGATGTATCTGGCTTTCACATCAGAAAAACGATGATGATGATGAAGTAACGCGTCAAGCTGGAGTGGCAGTAAAAGTCAGAGGCTCAGTGTAAGCCTACACTCTTAAAAATAAAGGTTCATTAATGGTTCTTTGTAGCACCTTAGTTTCAGCAAATAGCCATATTCTTATCAAGAACCATTATTTTGTACTTGGCAGTTTGGATAACTGATCAAAAAAAGTTATTGAAATGACATTATAGCTTCTTCACTTCACTGTCGCTGTTTCTCGGTTCTTTAAAGCGGCATAACGAGACTTTCTAAACAGCTATTGAATAATAAGCTCTTTGTGAAACTTATAAGATTCTCCTAATTCATCAGTCTGGAAACCCTTTTTTATCGAAAGCTTATTTTTTACGCGATAGCCTACCGTAAATTCAGCGAGCGCGTCTATGTAAATGACGCAGTAATTTGTTATTGTCATAAAAAACAACAGACGACAAAAAGCAAACGGAAGTGATGAATATACAGAAAATGTAAAAACGGCATAAACCTCACAAGAGAAAGACTCCTTTCGCGAAGAATAAACAGCAAGTTCAGAACTGAACGTAAATGTTTCGCGTCGCCTCTCCAAAGTCTACAAGCAATATTATAAGAGCGTGTTTATACGTACTTCACGGAAAACGTAAGGATGCAATCCCTCGAAAATGACACGGTTTTATGATAAAGTTAAAATAACAACAACCGCAGAGCGTAAAGGATAAAGCGGTAACAGCGCATCACATGAAAAGTCATCAGTAGTAGATCAAAACTCAGGGCGAGCGCAAATGACAAGGTTACTTACTCTGAAGATGAGAGCGAATTGAGCTTCTTCGCGATAGTGTAACAGAGAATACAGAGGGTTGTTCGCCCCGTGATGAATATTGTAATTTCTCGGGACAAGCGAGAGCGAAGAGAGTGAGATAGAGAAAGAGCTCTTGCGCGCCGCTCCTCTCTCTGCATGAAAACTGTTTGTCTCAGCGCACGCGGCCAGGAGGAGGCTGAGAGCGCGCGCTCGCACCAACAAGATTCACTTTAAGACGCGGCTGAAGGAAGCAGGAAGACGGCGCGTCATAATCATTGTGATGTAACGCTCGCACCTACCAATAAGAGCCGTCCGCTGGATTTAGAGGAATACAAAACAAGTGAAGTTGAAGACTCCGCTCGAGCAAAAGCGAGTGATACGGGGACCTTTGTGGGATATCTGTAAGGATACGCACTCTTTAAACAATATGTTCTCTGTGTGGATTTTGTTACCAAGTTATTCTTTACAATATGCACAAGCGCTGTTTGTGCTGACTGAAATGTATAGACTGCTTTATTGTAGATGCATGCTCATCATGATGTATTTGAAACATAAATCGCATCAATGTATACTATTAAGTGCACTTTATATTTTTTTCCCCAGAAAATTAAATTCAACATTTTTTTTTTCTAATTTCTCTCGTATTATTTCTATATTATATCATCATGTAATTCATAAATGCGAATAGTATATTACATCACCATGTTTAAAAATAAGACCCAACTCGCAATATTCATGAAATGTGGTATGCAGGCCCCGAGAAGTGACCGCAGCCTCGACCTCGTTGGTGCCTGGATTCGTGAAAATAGTTTCGCTTACCAAGGTTGTCTTTGAGCTATGGGCTTCTTTCTACTTAAGACCTTGCTCTTACTTTAGATCCCTCCTCCTAGCCTCCACAGTCAACAGATGAAGAATATACTGAAGCTTTGACATGTTCTTTCTGAATACGGTTAGACAGACTTATTTTTCCAGAGATACAACCGTAAAATGATCCCCAAAAACGCATGGGAAGTTCTTTTTGTAAATTAGGGCATATATCAATCATGTGTGCTTTTATGTTCAGTCAATAAGGCAAGTTTATAACAATAACCAGTGTGATATAATGTATTCGGTCCCTATCCTAATGAACATTTGACTAATATCTGTAATAGAATAGAAAAGTGTTGTCTGTCCTAAGTTTCTTTAGGTTAGATTGCAGAAGATTTAAACAGACTGTTGCTGTGCAGCACACATGGACAATACCAATTAACTTGCATTTACATCTGTCTTGCTTATAGATTTGAATTACCACGCTAAAATAAAGTTCTGCTTTATGGAAGAAAAAAAAAACATAGGATTATTTGGACACATTATTTAGAGAGCCATTAGCCAATCAAATGTTGATTTCTCACCATCCTATCAGGTGCTTCAGCATGTAAGCAGATTTCTCAAAGCCTTAACCTACTTTTCTGTAGTCGCTGTTCCTGCTCTTTGTTGAAATTAAAATGTGTATTCAAAACGTCGCACATTACTCGTTTTTCTCAGTAAATGTAAAAGTTTTTGCCCTCTTATTTTTTTTACGTTTAAAGCCACTGCCTCGTGTTCTGTAGCAGCTCATTTGAACGAAATGTGTGTGACCCTGCAGAGAGTCGTGAGTAATGATTAAAATGTCTTTATTGATACAAAACAAATTATAGTACGCCAGCCTAGAATAAATCAAGCAGTTCATGTGATACCAGACATAATTAATTGTAGTATCCTGAAAAAAATCCGCAATTGAAAAATCCTCCAAAGCACATTTCAGTTGTTCATTCCAATGCATGTTTGGGCTGTCAGAGCAAATAACAGCAGCGCAGCTGTTTGACCTATTAATGAGATTATTTACTGTAAGTGTTGATCAAAATTCTTTAGCAAATTTGGGTTAGAAATGACATCTGCAAATACATTCAAAACAAAACTTTGTCTATTATTATTATGATTATTGTACAATTTATTATTTACATTATTATTATTTTCGATATTATTATCTAACTATTTTACTATGTTAGATATTTTTAATAACATGCATCCCTCGAGATTTTTACCTGATGGTGAGTATTTTTCCCCGTCAGTATTACTTCAGTACGTACATGCATTGACTGGATTATGTGTTTTTATTTTTATTCATAACTTAAAAAAAAAAACTTTCCTTCAAGTTTACAATAGGATTCACTCTCACAGCAACAAGCTCTTTTCTTTTCCTTGAACGAGGACAAAAGGAAAGGCGTGTTGTTCACTCAGTTTCCATGTCGCAAGCAAATGTTATTGTGAGTGAATAAACGACTGGGAAGGCAGGATTTTAACTGCAATTAATTTCTTTTCCAAAACAGGTGTTCCAACTTATTTTGTTAGCATCTTTCCCCAAAGGCACGCTCGGAGTGCGAGCTTAGTGGAAAAATACATGACAACATTAAAGCAATAGTGTTTGGAGAAGGAAAACGCCTCTTAGGTGTAGAGGAAACCTGTTTATTAACACCGCCACCTCTGATCTCTCTGTCACCTTTCTGCTGGACACTCAGCCACTAAATGTCTTAGAATCGCTTGCATTTCGTGAGGGATAAAGACTAAGCACGTAGCCTACATATTATATCGAATATAATAATAAATATAAGATGTCCGCGGAAAGAATGTCCGATTTCATTTTACGCAACAATTCAGTAGTTGTCAGTGCCACTGCCAAGTTGGACTACTGTTGCATTAAACTGTAGCTAGAAATAGAAAAATAATACATTTTAAAAGAGACTGGAAAAAAATAAACGAAACTTTATCTCAACAAAATGATTTAATCGGTTTCTCGACGCCGTCTATTTGAAAGACAATGTGCTCACCTGCTCTTCCACAGTCCCTTTTTCCCACTCAGCCCACAGATATTTCGAGAAAGGAATGACTTAAAGAGATCAACATAAATTGCTCATTTTAATTTAGTTTATTTATTTATTTATTTTGGATCAGGACATAAGCTAAATTCCGATAGTATTGCAACTTTATTTGCTTTCTGAGTTTCAGCATCCATTCTCCTGCTTCAACGCTGCACTGAACAGCTACAGTTAGGCAGCTATCAGTTAGACTTCACCCTGTGTACAGGCTCCATCTATCCACTGTGCGATTTATTTAATGACTTTCAGGAGGGTGACATTTTTAAAGTAATTTCCGTCAGTAATGTTCTGAGCACGGATTTCATCTTGTGCAATCCGAATTGTTTTTTTTGGCGCCCCTAGCGCATATACAATAGGCTAGCTAAACATCAAGTAGCCTACCTTAACGATGTTCTAAAAATACTAACATATTTGTTGTGTAAAAAAAATAATAACGCGATAAATGATAACAGTAGGCTTGTGTTTGTTTATGTACACATGGAACATTGTGTTGCTATGGTTACTCACGCAAAGGCGAGTTTTGTTGGCGAGCGTTTATATTTAGCAAACTTACTTGTAATCAAATTTTTGTGGTTAATGGTAGGTTGTTTAAAACGCTACTGAAACATATAAAAACGCTTGTAAAACAATACCCTTTGTTGTCACTTCCTGAATACGCCCCCCCTCCATAATTCGCACCGTGCTAGTGTTAGTAATTCGAATAGAAGTCGAATTATCTTATAAAACTGAGTGAGATTTGAGACTTTACTAGTTTATGAAATTATTTCTGTGGGCTAAATATAGACAGATATTTGCTTTTGAACCAGAAATGATAGGCTATTAGCCCCACAATGACTTATTTCCATCACTTTTTAGAAGAGGTGTATTTCAATTGTATTACACACCTAATTGCAATGGAAGCACTGTTTTTATTTATTTATTTATTATTTTGAATGAACAGCTCAAACTAACGTTTTATTTTTTTGTGGCAACGTGGGTAGTTTTGTCAAAAGGCCATCCGGAAACGCAGCTGACACAGAGGTGGATCTCTATTCTATTTAATGCGTCTTGCTCAGGATAAGTTTGTGCTGTGGTGTTTCCAAGATGTGTCAGTTATTCACAGTAAGCTGGTGCGGTTTGTATAACTTAAATCCATCCCGCAGTTAGAGCATACATTTATTCAAAGGACCAAAGTAGATGACCCAAATAAATTAGCAATTCAGATGCAATATCAACAAACAAGGCAAAAAAGAAATCAACTGGGCTTCATATGTCACTTCTGTGGATTACAGATGTCCTGGGGGCTAGTGGTAAAGAGAGGATCAGTGGGATAGACTGCCAACAGATAAACAGTTTCTAATGCTGTGTGGACACTGACGTTGCCCTTTCATGCTGATCTGTGACCTGCTACCTGAACCCTAACGTGAGACACCACTGGAAAAACTGCTCTCAAATGTAGTTTAAAGCTCAAACAGACAAAAATCCCTGAGTACTGTCCTAAGTATATGTACTCTGCAGGACATTTTGCAAGATTTTTTGCCTACTGCTTACCCAGTCTATGACAGCAATTTTTGTTTCTTTGTCTCTAGTTGTGAAGCACTGCATAATTGTAATATTAGTCTTGTTCCATAATATTCTATCACGTCTCTGAACAGAACAGATAATATTCTCCACCTTACTAATCATGCTAAAATTGAAAGGCCATATGAAGCAAAGAGAATAGAAGGGGAGAGATGTAATAAGACTAGATTAGGGGTGGCAGCACACAAGAATAGATATAAAAAGGGGAATATTACTGCACTGTAGATGCTGTTGTGCACAAATTCAGTCAGCTTCCAGGGGCCATCAAGATTCAGGGAGTAGCTATTATTGTACACATTAGCGCAGGCTAGCTAAAAGCTCTTATGCTTGAAGAGGTCTTGGAGGTCTTCAGGAAAAAGGATGTGGCACTAAGAGTGGGCAGTGTTTAAGAGACCCCTGGTACTCCGCAAAAATGGGAGGCTCTCGATGTGACAATGTGACATGCTGGATTCATTTATAAGACTGTTGGAGCAGGGAATCGAATATGGTATTGGGACGTGGAAACGATGTTATGACATGTAACCATTACCGTCACGCTGAAAAATAAGGAGGGAAAACAAAAGAACAGGCTAATGACAAGATGTGAGGTAACAGAATATAATGGCTTTAGAACATGTAAGGTGTTTAAAGTGTGGCTGGAGGCTGAGATATTGCCACTAATGTGACCGATGTAAGTTCAGGACTCTTATGGGACTGATGAACCACAGTCTGTGCTATTAGATACCGGCTTAATTCTACACAATTATACCTACTGTTTACCAAAACTGTCCCTGGTAAACACTAACAATCAATGCTGTTTTGTGCCATGGACAGAGTGAAGCCTTAATGCAAACACTCTCTAGGTTGAAAGGTCACTTCTTCTTCAGCTAAACAAGTGACAGTAGGATCAAAAGCAAGAGAGAGATCTTTATTAAATTGGCAATTTGTATATTTTGGTAGATTGCAAAGAAACCCACATGCACTTTGCATATGGGTATTAAATCTATAGTGGAATAGAAAGTTTAAATTGCAGATTGTTTGGGTCTATAAATACTTAGCTTATTTGGCAGAAAAGAAATGGCAGCTAAACTCTTAAATGTCATTTTCAAAATACAGTACTTTTATTATTATGTATCCTTTTTTCTGAAAAACCAAATTCTCC